GATGATCTGTTGGAGTGTGAGCATGGTAATATTTAGTGAAGGGATTCAGGGAAACCGGTTATTTTTGTATAGCCGGACTTGAGTCCTGGAAATGGGAAGTACAATGCCTGCACTCTAAAGAAGGGGTTCGGGATATTAGCAGTTTGGAGGGATATGTTGTGTATCTTTATACGTATATGCTTCTAAACTGTTGTGTTCTGAGCACCTCTGCAAAAACAGTGATTATGTGTGAGTGAGGTGAAAGTGTTGAATGATGATGAAAGTATTTTCTTTTCGGGGATTTTTTTCTTTTTGGGTCACCCTGCCTCGGTGGGAGACCGCCGACTTGTTTATATAAAAAAAAAAAAAAAAAAATCATCAATATAGAATATAATATCAGGACCCAATTACATATATACTGTCCTATTACACATCCCTCCAAACTGCCAATATCCCAAACCCCTCCTTTAAACCTTTAACTGTCGCAAGCCTCTTTCTCAAACTGTCATTCTAATGTCACAAAATATTTGGAAAAAAAATAAGTTTTTTCTTATGAAATGATAATCTTTTCCTGATGCTAATGACACCAAAAGTATAAAATTTGACCGAAAACTTGTGCTCCCGCGAAATTAGCGATCTCTGCGATACATACGCATCTGTGATTTCGCCGAATTTGAGCCCCATTTTCAGCCAATTCCATTATTCCAGTCGACCAAACTCATAGCAATTTCTTTAGAACTCCATTTTTTTCTATCAATTGACTACAACAAACCGCCCATTTACCGATTTTAACTACTCAATAAAGTGGTCAGAAATTGGCAATTTGGCCAATTTTATGGAAATTAAAAAAGATGCCAATTTCAAAGGGCTCAGAATAAACAATGCACACATTCATGGCTCTAAATTAACATTCTCTGTTCATTAGCCATGTCTCCAGGCCCCTCTTATATTACTCTTGCTGTCTATTTTGATTTTTTATTCACACAAAAAATAGATGAGATTTACTGTTATGCAGACTACTGCATTATTGTAAAAATGGTGTAAGTAATGTCAGTGCACTAGTGAAAGGATATTAGACTCTTCAGTTGATATGTATTGGATGTGTGGTGCGATTTGTTTACTCTTGAACATTGGTAAAAATCGAACATTTCCACTATTCTGAGCTCAATTTCAAGGTCGTTTTCGTCACGGAACTAATAAAAACACCCCCCCTTGTAATGTGTTTTCCATTCAAAACAAGACCCGAAAACGGGAAAACAGGGACCCCCGCATACCGATTTAATCCGGCAAAGGGTCTTGTTAACGAATAATCGGGATCAAAAAAAAAAATTTTCCCCATAAGAAATAATGAAACAAATTAATCCGTGCAAGACACCCAAAAGTATGAAAAAAAAAAATTTTACCACGTGAAATATACATTTTCCTCACACAAAGAGAAGGATACATGCACAATAGTAGAGTAGTACATGCACAATATATATTGTGCATGTACTACTCTACTAAATGAAGAATAAATGACACTTACCTTCATTGAAGATGCAGCAATGACTGATGAGACACTGTGTCCTGGGAGTGCCTTTTCCTCCTGAGTACTGTAGGTCCTGTTTGGTATTTTCTTCCAGAACATGCCTTATCACACTGTGTATGTCACTACGATTTTTAAAATCTCTCAAACCAACCTTTGCTGGCTTTAAATTCACCAATATGAGCACTAGTTCCAGGCATTTTTCCCTGTTCACCTGGGTGTTAGTCGACTGGTGTGGGTTGCATCCTGGAAGACAAGATTAAGGACCCAATGGAAATAAGTTAGACAGTCTTCGATGACACTGACTTTTTTGGGTTATCCTGGGTGGCAAATCCTCTGGGGTTAATTGTTTCTTGGTATATTCTCAATAAGCCACACCAACAACAGTGCAGCAGCAGACGATGCTACAGCAGCAGCAGCAGCTGACAGTGCTACAGCAGCAGCAGACGATGCTACAGCAGCAGCAGCAGCAGACGATGCTACAGCAGCAGCAGACGATGCTACAGCAGCAGCAGCAGCAGCTGACAGTGCTACAGCAGAAAGCAGGACGGATGCTACAGCAGCAGCAGACGATGCTACCAGCAGCAGCAGACGATGCTACAGCAGCAGCAGCAGCAGACGATGCTACAGCAGCAGCAGCAGCAGCAGCAGACGATGCTACAGCAGCAGCAGACGATGCTACAGCAGCAGCAGCAGCAGCTGACAGTGGCAGCAGCAGCAGCTGTACCACCAATAGTAGCGATGGTTGATTGGGGTTTCTTGTACAACCTGGCCAGGTCGGCGATACGCACTCCACTTTCATACTTATCAATGATCTCTTTCTTCATCTCTATTGGAATTCTCACCCTTATTGCTGTAGGGTTGGCACTAGAAGCTTTCTTGGGGCCCATGGTCACTTATTTTCCAGAAAAAGCACCGAAAACACTGTAATAATACGAAATATTCCGATTGTATGCTTGGATGTTACCGCGGAGGCTGGCTGGTAAACAATGCCACCGGCGGCACATGTGAGGCTGGCTGAGGGCGCACATTGGACGCGTCTCGGACGAACATCGGTGAGCGGGTTTTTAAACGGTATGCGAGGCAAAATTTTTGCGATTAAAGCAAGCGGTATGCGGATTAATTGTTATGTGATGCCATCGGTATGCGGGGGTCCACTGTACAACCATAAATACTACACGAATATACACTTGAAATTTGGCATTTTAATCCAAAAACACAGTCGGAGTTTTGTGTGTCATTATACACTGCGTGCTGCAGAATTCTTTTATACAGTACACACTGACCACACAGACCCATTGGCTCACATGTGGGCCTACCAGCTTTCTCCTGCTTGATTTGAAGCAACTACATTTTTTTTTTTTTTCCAACAAGTCAGCTTCCTCCCACTGAGGCAGGGTGACCCAATATGAAAGAAAATCCCCAAAAAGAAAATACTTTCATCATCATTCAACACTTTCACCTCACTCACACATAATCAGTTTTTGCAGAGGTGCTCAGAACACAACAGTTTAGAAGCATATACCTATAAAGATACACAACATATCCCTCCAAAGTGCCAATATCCCAAACCCCTACTTCAAAGTGCAGGAATTGTACTTCCCATTTCCAGGACTCAAGTCCAGCTATATAAAAATAACTGGTTTCCCTGAATCCCTTCATTAAATATTACCCTGTTCACACTCCAACAGCTCATCAGGTCCCAAATACAATTCGTCTCCCTTCACTATCTAACGCGCTTATGTACGCTTGCTGGAAGTCCAAGCCCCTCGCCCACAAAACCTCCTTTACCCCCTCCCTCTAACCTTTTCGAGGACAACCCCTACCCCACCTTCCTTCCCCTACAGATTTATATGCTCTCCATGTCATTCTACTTTGATCCATTCTCTCTAAATGACCAAACCACCTCAACAACCCTCTGACTAATACTTTTATTAACTCCACACCTTCTCCTAATTTCCACACTCTGAATTTTCTGCATAATATTCACACCACACATTGCCCTTAGACAGGACATCTCCACTGCCTCCTTGCTGATGCATTCACAACCCAAGATTCACACCCATATAACAGTTTGGTACTACTATACTTTCATACATTCCCTTCTTTGCGTCCATAGATAACGTTTTTTGTCTCCACATATACCTCAACGCACCACTCACCTTTTTTCCCCTCATCAATTCTATGATTAACCTCATCCTTCATAAATCCATCCACCGACACATCAACTCCCAAGTATCTGAAAACATTCACTTCTTCCATACTCGTCCTCCCCAATTTAATATCCAATTTTTCTTTATCCAAATCATTTGATACCCTCATCACCTTACTCTCTTCTATGTTCACTGTCAACCAACAACAAGAAAGCGACAGAGACGATCCTCCAACAAAGGCCAGTAAGGAAGACACGTCTTGTCGGAAGCCAAGCCAAACAGAAAAGAGACAGCACAGCCCAGGCAGACTACTCCAGGCGAGGCGTGATCACCCCCCCTGATCATGTGACTCCGTGCTGCTGCTGCTGCCCAGCAACTCTGAGAAGCCAGCAGCGTAATGAGCACAACGATTGTTAGACAATGCTGTCAGCTACTTAACACTCGAACTATGAGAACTGAATAATATAAAATGTACTCCTACATAATAATATAACTAAGTCAAATAATAATATAAAGCAATATATTTACGATTTCTTCCATGGGAAAGTGGAACAGAATTCTTCCTCTGTAAGCCATGCGTGTTGTAAGAGGCGACTAAAATGCTGGGAGCAAGGGGCTAGTAACCCCTTCTCCTGTATGTATTAATAAATGTAAAAGGAGAAACTTTTTTTTTTTCCCTTTTTTGGGGACCCCCCCTCGGGGGATAAAAGGGCCCGGGGGTTGAAAGAAAAAAATTTACGTTTAGCTATTATCACAAAAAACAAAGCAATATAAAATTATATGAACAAATAATTAAAATTTAAAACCCTTGTGACCCATTAGGGGTTTCAATACACATCCTTTTCTTCAAGTATATCCAATTTTTCTTATCTAAATCATTTGATACCCTCATCACCTTACTCTTTTCTAGTTCACTTTCAACTTTTCTACCTTTACACACACTCCCCAAATGGGCCACTAAAATTTTTCAATTTTTCTTTAGAATCTCCCATAAGCCAGATCATCAACAAAAAGTAATGTGCAACTCCCATTTTGTATTTGATTCCCCATAATTTTTAAACCACCCCTCCCCAACACCCCAACATTTACTTCTTTTACAACCCCATCTATAAATATATTAAACAACCATGGTGATTTTACACATCCCGGTCTAAGACCTAAACATGCTTACTGAAAATCCAAGCCCCTCGCACACAAAACCACCTTTATCCCCCCATTCCCTCCAGCCTTTCCTAGGCTGACCCCTACCCCACCTTCCTTTCACTACAGATTTATTCTATCCAATTAATTAAGAACTTTCTGCAGTATTTTTCATCAGTAAATTATTATCAGTTTGAACATACCTGATCACCTGAGGCATACAGGTGGGCAAGGAGCTCCCCCATAATGAAATCTTTGGTGTTGTTTATCATAAGATGCATGACTATCTTTGGTACTAAATCTCGTGTAGTCTTCGTGACAATCTTCATGTAAGAATCGACTAAGTTGCGAATGGTCTCCACTTGACGTTCAAGTTGAGGGTCCATAGACGTGGAGCCTTCACTAGAACCCTGAAGCAAACAAATGTCAATAAAAAAACAAACCCTGAAGCAAACAAATGTCAATAAAAAGACTTAACTATACTTGAGATTAAAACTTTTAGATAATAGACAATACAGAGAATATATTAAGAAGCTAGTACAGTAGGGCCCTAAATTATGACAATGTGTTCTAAAATTACCCACATTAAAATAGAAGATGAATTCCTGAATGATGGGAGGGAGTGGCAAATGAAAACTATAATTAGTGAGGGTGGAGGATTAGGTCCCATGCCTCACCAACTCAGAATGTCCTTTATGCTGTTGCTGCAGCAGCAGCTAAGCAGCCACCACAACTAAAGTAACAATTGATCTGCAGTTCTTAATTTTTACCAAAATAAACAAGAATTCTCCACACAAGCATTATAAAAACATATAAAAAAAAAAATGTATGTGGGTGTATGCACGAATGAGTTTACTCGTACTCATTCGCCATATGTGGTTGCAGGGGTCAAGTCCTAGCTCCAGGAGTCCTGCCTCTCAACTTACCACTTACCAGAAACACTCCCTCTTTATACCATATATCTTACCCGGTATACTCAAGCTTATGTCCATCCTATAATTCTTACGCATCTTTTTTCCTTTTTCTTCATACAAACTATGTATGTTCATATATACATGTATTTTCAAAATAAGGATCCTGTGCTCACCTCTTCTCCATTACTAGAGTCAGAAACTTTTTCTGGGTAAACACCAGCACGTAGGAATGATGCTTTCCAAGAGTCCATGTCATCTTGGGTTTCAACGCCCAACTGTAGCTCTTTGTAATCCTATGGAGATGCCAAACAAACATGCTGAAACACTTTAATAGTTGACTGGGTAACAAATTTCTTAAAAATATATTGATACGTCGAATACAAGTTAGTGAAACCGTAAAATATGATATCTTTATGCTCATTATGTTGTATGTTTTTTTTATACCCCATCAGCTCTGGCCCATCGAAGAATTCCCCCCCCCCCCAAAAAAAAAATACACTGTTCTGAAGTGCACCGACACATAAATGATCCACCAAACTAGCATCTTAATCAAATCTTCCAAATGTAGGTAATGTACTCCTCATTCTAAAAATAATACCATCAGAGCATTCAAATATAATAGTAAAGGATGTTACAGCAATCTTACTCCAATTCCACATCGAATCTTAAAAATAACTGTACTCGCCTTGCTCTAAAACAGCTTACAAATGTTTACTTCATAATCAAGTCCCTATCTCTCAAACCATTGCTTCAACCTATCATTGGAAGTCCTTTATAATAAGGATGAAATGATACCAAATTTTTTTGGCGATACCGATACTCAGTAAAGATTAATCAGAAGAGGTTTAGTGTTGATCTCCAGGAGCTGAATGTCAAACCAGTTCACAACACAAGCAAAGTTTAAGGTCAACGTGCAAAACTGAGCAATAGCTCAAACTATCTAGCTGGCTAGATCAGTAGCAGGACCAGCACCTGTAGCTCAGCACCCTCAAGAAGACAAGGAATGGAAATTGCATACTTAAAAACAGTTCAAGTACGAGATGAATCTGAAGCCACAATGCAAGGATATTTAACATTTCACTATGACCATTTTGTATGCAAAGCTCAAAATTAATGGATCAAAAGGGATATTTTACTTTTATTTTCAGTCTGCCTGAAATGCTCTCCATAATCATCACCTCTCCAAATCAGAGAATAAAAACTTAACCCAGCTTTGTATCACATGAATACTGTACCCTGGAATTTATATTCTTATATTTATCATTAGCAAACACTGGCTGGCGATACATTCTTATGTTTAGTAAGCCCCTTAAAATTCTTACCTTGTAGACATTTTTCTGATCAGGATTGTAAAGGGCAAAGACATGGCGGCGGGACATAAAGCCTTGCTCTATATCTTTGATCTTCAACCCATCGAGCATCAGCATGTACTTCTTATCTCTCTCGTCCTCATCCTGTAAAGATATCCAGTGATCATACTTTACCTTCATACAGACTAACAGCTGCATTTGAAAAGCCTATATATAGTGTATACAAAATATGGCATGATAGTTTCATGACAACGATAATCAGATGACAGTGATTAAGAAATTAAGAAAAACGGGGAGAGAACATAAACAGTAAAACAGTACAAGTGATTGTAGATGTACCACTTATTTGAACATTTCTGGACATAGTTACTGGTGTATACATACAAAAATTAAAATAGATTGACATTCACATATACAGATGGTCAGACATTTACAGTTGAACATACACGTGTACACAAGCAGATGAACATTCAAACAGATAGGCATGGGTAACACTATATGCACATCTTTGATAATGGCAGGAACATTTACAAGAAAGATAGAATACAGTAGACAGGACATTATAGGACAAGGAAAAAAGAAAGTCTATTATGCAGTAGCTATCTCATCAACTCTAAACAGGATACAGAAGCCAGTGAGATAATCACTGAAGCCATACAAAAATATCTCTAATTCACTTCCAAGTGTATATGTGAGCTTGACTTTAAACTTGTTGGAATAATGTCAAGAAGTTTAGAGCAGTTAATTAGGGAAGAGAAAGTACGCCTAATCATTAGTGTCTAGTTCAGACCAATGTACAAGAATGCAAAACACGTTTATGATGCTAATAATGACTAATGATTATACTGATGGTTAGGGCAATAATATATGATTGGTTATAATGCTAATAATGACTGATGATTATGATGTTAATAATAACTGATGATTATGATGCTAATAATGATCAAGATGCTGAGTAACTGATTGTGCTAATAATGAATGAGTAACTGGTGATTATAAGGCTAATAATGAGTGATTGGTGGTTATGATGCTAATAATGACTAACTGACAATTATAAAGCTAATAATGATTATGCTAACAGAAAATTATGCTAATAATGACAAAAAAATCAATTATTATAATGCAAATGATTATTAATGACTGATAAACATGCTAATAAGGATCAATGGTCATGTTATTAAGCTAATTATGATGTAATGGCCGATAAATTGGGTATGGTAATTATTACACTTAACCTGGACAAGCATATTTATACTGCAACCTGCTTAACTTGACCTGGAGGAGGAGCAATACGAGGGCTAAAAAAAAAAAAAAACAGGATTATGAAGGAGGGAGTACTGGGTAACAGATTTTTGTTGGAGTGTGAGCAGGGTAATATTTAGTGAAGGGATTCAGGGAAACCGGTTATTTTATATAACCGGACTTGAGTCCTGGAAATGGGAAGTACACTGCCTGCACTCTAAAGGAGGGGTTTGGGATATTGCCAGTTTGGAGGGATATATTGTGTATTTTTATACATATATACTTCTAAACTGTTGTATTCTGGGCACTTCTGCAAAAACAGTGATTGTGTGTGAGTCAGGTGAAAGTGATGAGTGATGATGAAAGTATTTTCTTTTTGGGGATTTTCTTTCTTTTTGGGTCACCCTGCCTCGGTGGGAGACGGCCGACTTGTTGAAAAAAAAAAAAATTATTGAGCAATGTGCTGCTACCCTAATCTATATGATAGGTACACAGCAAGGGTTCATTAGTTTTGAGTGTTTCAGAGGTTTCATTCCGATAGAGCTGGGGTTACCTTCACCTGGGAAATGCAATCTCTCTAGATAGCCCATCCCATACACAGAAGTGGAATTTTTATGAAGATACCTTCATTGTCCCAGAGTAGGGGGCAAGATAAATTATATACAGGACACACGAAAGAGGGACAGGGAATGGGAAGAGTAATATGGGTACTGCAATACATCTAACTGTATAAACATTTGCATTAGTAAATAATTCAGTCATTATAAGCCGCCTAATATATAATGTCGTGAGTCTAGTTTTTATTTTTTTAATATAAAATAAAAGGGTACATGACATTAGCAGTGGGCTGAATTAAGAGGAGAATGAATTAGGAGTGGAGAAGAGGAAGAAGGGAAGATGCAGAGAAAAAGCTGATGAGGAAATAAGGAGGAAAGGAGGGAGGATGTAAGGAGGGAAACAAGTAAGATAGGGGAGAAATAACAGAATATAAATGAAAAAACAACTAACATTACTTCACATGATCACTGATCAACAATAGCCAGCAACTCAACTAAACAGTTAAACAGTCTGTGACACCACAACAAGACATTAAGATGAAGATACCATATTTAAAGGCTTATTAGACACATTTTTTTTTCCATAAAATTTCTCCAAAAACTACCCTGTGTCCTATAAACTGAAGGTCAGTGACGGGACCTATAAGTTTGGGGTGTGGGGTGGGCTGTAGCTCTCCCAGTTACGTCCGATGCCAAGCCACTGAAACTACAACAAGTCCAGCATTTCAAAATTACAGTAAATTACTAACATTTTGAGACACTATTTCTGAAATATGAATACTGTACTGGGATACTGACAGAAAACAAAATTCCTATTTCAGTAACACCTTCCTTCCTTATTTCTTAAGCTACCGAAGTCACAAAGCAGTGTCATTTATGGTAGGTACTTTAACCCTTTGACTGTTTTGGTCGTATATATACGTCTTACGAGCCAGTGTTTCAGATGTATATAGTATACTCAATAATTATAGCGGCATCAAATCAAGCAGGAGAAAGCTTGAAGGCCCACATATGAGAGAATGGGTCTGTGGTCAGTGTGCACCACAAAAAAATTCCTGCAGCACGTAGTGCATAATGAGAAAAAAAAACTGACCATTTTTTGGATTAAAACACAGACTTTGAGGTGTATTTTCGTATGGTATTTATCATTGTATTCTCGTTTTCCTGGTCTCACGTGATAAAATGGAAAACATATTACAGAAAGAGAGATGATTTTGATTAGTTTCACGATGAAAATGACCTTGAAATTGAGCTCAAAGTAGCGGAAATGTTCGATTTTTACCAATGTTCAAGAGTAAGCAAATCACACCACACGTTTTGGGACAGGGACAGTCGCGCGCGGTTGTGCTCCGCCAAAAACTGCGTGTCTTGATAGTAGCAGAGGGAACAGAATGCGGGAAATAAACGTGTGCAACCATAAAGTGCATATACTCCTTTGAACAAACAAAAAAGGAATATCAGTGAACACTAAATAGGAAAATATGGATTATAGTGTCACATGGAGAGTGCCGGTGGAGGAACGGTTACCGTGGGAAATAGACCTGACCAGCACTAGTGAATTATTGCCGGATGTCGACACAAGTGGAAATAAACAAATATTGATCTATCTATAAGTAGCATAGCGAGTGACAAGGATATATATGTGCAGTGACATAGTGAACTAAATTGTAGATAAGAGTAATCTCAATTATCCCCCAGTATAGCGTACAATATATAGTGTATATAGGGGAATATCTTACAAGCGACTGGCACTAGCGAACTATTGCCAGAGGTCCAGTGAAGTGTTAATAACGGATGAGTAATTACTATAGTCATAAGAGATAAAACGAGTGGTGGTAGCATTGAGGTGCAGGGAATCACAGCATACATAAATTGAGCATACAACCGTTACCTCTACTAAACAGGAAAAAACTTTTCCATAGAAGTGTAGGGGAAAGTTAGCATAGGCCTAGCTGCTGTGTAAATAATAAAACAATGATCCCAGTATAGCGCAGTGAAAAGTGTATTTTGAAAGAATACAGTGTATATCCTTGAGATAAACAGTGTACAGCACTACATAAAAGGAATTTAAATAATAATAATAATAAAAATAATAGTGAAGTGTGGCAGTGTGGGCAAGTCCTGCCCGGCTCACACCCACCCTACACCCACCACCCACCCTACACCACCACCCACATACTGCAAACTTGGTTCACATAAATACATCTTGCATATTACTGGCACCAGCAAGAGAAAGGTAAAGTGGAAATAAGTTTTCTTCCGTGGCATACAGAGTGTAGTAGGATACAGACAGGATGTCAGCACAGCATATCTGTGGGACATGTAAAAAAATCCTTGGAAGGAAATCCAGAATCACATGAAATCTATGCTCTTCCAAACACCATCTCTCTTGTACTAGACTAAATACAGCCTCAAAAAATGACCTCGAACTAGCAAGGTGCTTCTGGTTGTGCAATAAAGATGTAGAACTTTGGGCAGGTATCAGAAAGGTACTAAGGAGAGTAATAAATGATAAAAATAATCAAGAAAACAAGGATGACCTCTTGGATAGTCTACCAAAAATATATAAAACATGGGAGCAAGAGATAGTGTATCAAAAAATGCAGAATGCCCATACCACAACAGATGACTCGAAACTATCTAGTCACCCACATAGTGCTAAGCCAGACCCATCCCCCAGTCATAGCACTAATACCCACAGTGCTGGTGCTGGCCCAGGCTCCCCCAGTCATAGCACTAATACCCACAGTGCTGGTGCTGGCCCAGGCTCAGCCCCCAGCCCCAGTGCTGACTCAGACCCAGCCTTACTGCCAGCCCAGACGCTACCAGGGACCCTACCACAACCACCACTAAAACCGTAAATATACAACCATCATTGCACAAGACCGTGGCCCACAGTACAGATGCTGGAGAGGAGTCTCCTCCTTCTTCCTCTACTGGGGAAAGTAGATGGAATCCAGGACGGGGTGGCCCTGGCTTGCATACTGAGGATTATAGTGCAGTCCCAGAACCTGCAGAAATTGACAACACACCTCCCAACAATTCTCAACCAAAGGTGAATTTGTGCAAATATTATGCTTGGGGCATCTGTAAGCATGGAATATCAGGAAAAAAAAATGGGACATGCAACTTTGAGCATCCCAAAAAATGTAGCGACCTCCTGTCTAAAGGAGTGTGTCGTTCTTCTTCCTGTACTTTCTTTCACCCAAAAATGTGTCACTCCTCGGCCTCCAGAAGCAGTGTTACAACATCGACTGCCCTGCATACCATCTAAAAGGGACTAGGAGGCACAGACCCCACAAGACAAACAATAGTAGCTACGACAACCCAACTCCAGGTGATTTT